ACTCTAAGCCCCACCTGAACCCCAGCCCTGACCCCAGGACTCCCAGCTCCCATTGGAACCACAGCCCCGACCCAGGGACCCCCAGCTCCCACCCTGGCACACCCATCTCCAACCCCAGGACACACCAGCTCCCCACCAGGACCCCAGCCCCGACAACGGGACCCCCAGCTCCCACGCCAGGACCCACCACTGCTCGCAGTGGCTGGTGATCTGCTCGCCGGGCTTGTACAGGCGCCCGTGAAGTTTACAGTGGCACTGGCTCACGGGGATGCAGCCGCCGCCCGCGACGTCGTCGTACACAGTGCCTGGGACAGGTGGGCGGGATGTTCACACTCAGCTGGCCCCAAAAGTGCCAGTATCACCCTGGAGGGCCTGCTGTTCCCAGGACTGCAGCTGGGGGCCAGCATCGAGAAGTGCCAGAATTTCTGAGATGCGGCTGCCAGGCGGCCCTCCCGCCCGCAGGCACCCCTGGTCCCTGGGGGGACAGCTGCGGTTCCCACACAGCGCTGGTCAGGGACCTGCCTCGGGGCTCAGAGCCTGTCCTCCGGGAGTGACGCGTAAGGCGGCCCTCCGTCCGACTCCCTGAGGACACAGTGTGTCCCTTGGGGGAGGGTCTCCAGGACTTCTGTCCCCTCTGCCTGGGCCTTGTCCCCTGATCTCCGTGGGGGGCACCGTGCCGTCACCGTCCCCTCGGCGCAGCGGACAACCGAGGCCCGCACACCCACCGCACTCAGGCCGAGTGGCACTCGGCGGGGCCCTCCACCCGGCCGCCCCGCAGGCGTCCTGGCTCTCACCTTCCGGGCAGAAACAGCCGTCCATGCGGTGCTCCTCACACAGGCTGCTGACCTCCAGGTGCGAGCAGGTGTCCACGCAGGGCGAGCCGCTCTCCAGGTACACCATGTTCCCGGGGCAGCTCTTAGCTAGAAAGGCGAAGGCTGGACCCTGAGCCCCCACCTACCCGAGGGGCGGAGCAGGGAGGCGGGGGCACCCCCAAGGGTCTGTGCCTGCCTCCCACCCTGCCCGTAAAGAACGCCGCTGGGTCGGCACACATGTGGCTCCGGTCCAGGGCACGGCACTCCCCGGGGATCGACCCCGAGGGCCAAGAGGGCCCTGGCCCCCGACCCCGGGCCGGAGGCTGGGTGCTTACCGCAGAGCGTGGCTGTCCTCCAGTTCCCGGGCCGCCCGCCGGCATGGGAGCACTGGCGGGAGAACTCAGCGACGGTGCTGCAGACGCAGGAGCCGCCCTGCGCGCACTGGCAGCGGTCCTGCATGCAGGCCTGCACGTACGGCTGCAGCGGCACCAGGCCCCGGAGTCCTCGAAGGCCGTGCCCATCAGCAGGCTCTCGCACTCGGCGCGCTGGCGGGGGGGGTGGGGGGGAGACGGGTGACGGGGGAGCTGCTCGCGCCCCCCTCCCCTCCACGCTGCTCGCAGGTGGCGGCCTCCCAAGCAGCCAAGTAGGCCAGCGGATGCTGGCTCTCAGGGGAGAGGCGCGGGCACCGCCCCCACGGGCTCCTCCCCGGGAACGGCTCCTCCCCTGGGTCTGGGTCCCAGGCCAGCGACTCACGTGCTCAGAGCAGGACTCGGAGACTGGCACCTCCTCCGGGTCTTCACACACCACCTCGGGCTTGTTGATCTTCTGCAGGTTCCCAAACTCGATGGGGCTGAAGAGCACGCCTGCGGGGCACAGCCCTTCAGCAGGGGCACCCGGGAGCCTGCCCACACCCCACACACCAAGCCCCCAGAAGGCCCTCACCATCGGAGAGGAACTCAGAGTAGGTCTGCAGGCCGTTGTAGTCCCCGCAGAGGCCACACGTGTGGTTCTGGAACTTACTGTCCAGCTCCAGCTGTCGGGGGTCGGGGGAAGGGGAGCAGGTCATGGGGCAGCAGGACACCGGGTCCCGGGCAGCCAGGGCGAGCCCCCCAACCCCCAGGGCCGGGCTGGCCTCAGAACCTTGTTCAAAGGGCATCAGCTGCGGTGGACAGCTGGGGTCAGCCAGGGCTGTCCCGTCCTCGCGGAGGAACAGAAGGGGTTTGGGGAGGGACAGGGCCTGCCCCCACCCCAGCCGGGAGGGACCACCCACTGGGTGGCAAAGTGGCCCCCGTGCCGCTGGCCTCTCCACCAGCACCAAGGCCACACGGTGCTCCAGCCACGCTTCCCCGACCCCGCCTTGTGTCCCCTGGGGTCCCCCGGCCCGTGGAGGGGCCGTCCCCGCCTGTGACTCGGGCCCCACGCACCATGAGCGAGTCCTCCCGGTCCCACATGAGCGCGAGGCCGGTGCGGGAGTAGACCTTGGTGTAGGCGTCACTCTTCTCGATGAGCAGCCCAGAGCTGTAGTGCGGGGTGCTGACCCTGCAGGGGGCACGGGTCAGACCAGGACACACAGCACCCGCCCAGCCGGAGGCTGAAGCTAGGCGCTGGCCGCCCCCGGGCTCCTGGTCCCGGGCAGAGCCACACTCCCTCCACGGGCTCTGTTCTGGGCGGGCCCCCCGGGAGGATGGAGGGCCAGGCTGCACCCTGGTGGGGGCTTCCCCTGCCCACCCCATCGCCCAGGGCGGGCCCGTGCCCACCCAAACTGCCTCTGGGCCCCGTGCCCTTCCCCACCCTCAGCCCGGGGGCCCTGGGCTGCAGCCTCT